TACATATTGTCTTTTATTACCAGTCTTCAGGATTTGTTGACGAATTTAACCAAGGAAATAAGTCCCAATTTAAGCTCATTCTAAAAGCCATTGTAAATTGTACTGGGACCAAATTAGGCTCTTTATACTTTCCTTCTACCGCGAACATATTATGATGTTTTCACATGATTGCCCTGTCTCTTCATCCACCATTGTCTTTTCAGCGAACTACATAGTACGTTTGTTTCCCCTTGTCATGATTCGTGTATTGGTCGACCACAAGACATGGATTATGCTGTTCCGCCCGAATATCTTATTCGACATCTAATCGCCGACCGCTTACCGGATCCACCGATGGATCAGTTGTCTGAGGAGACGTTGTTCTGGTTATTTTACAATTGCTGCAGAGAGGAGGCGCAGTTGGTTGTAGCGAAAGAACTGTAAGTCACATAGTCCTCTGTAGTTGGTCCATTTTTTCCCTGACGTAAGCCTCTGAGGTTTTTCGGCTTGGTCTTGACAACCACCGGATGCAGGAACTACCATGCAAAAGGATCATTTCAGCATCTAGTAGTTGTTTAGGGGGGACTGGTCCCCCCTGGGGGTTGTTTTTTTATCCGATATCAAGACACCAGATTGTGGAAATTTGCTTAGTTAGTGTGCGGGAAAAAATATCTTTTGGGAAACTCTCCAGTGTTCCTTGACTGCGTTTGTGTCCTAATTTCAACGCAGTGCGATTGGCACTGAACTGTGGAGTCCTCTCCAAAGAAAACCTCACGGTTACTTGATAAGCAAGTTGCTTACATTTACGTCATTTGTGGATCATACTTGCTCGTACTTCGCTCCTAACGAAAGCCTTCAGATAAGTAAGTCACCATCAGTTTATCTGAGTACAAGGATGTCTGGTCAACCTGTGGCAATACCATGGTCATCCTGAAAATTACTTTGTGAGTTAGTTGTCACCCGAATGCCTACTTCCATTATGGGTTTAGTGTCATTATCTTGACTCTGTTTTCAAGTCAGTGTCTTACATTTTCGATTTACTGAAAGCCGACATCCATTGCCAATGCCGTAGTAGTGATAGAGTAATAATTCGTTTTAATAATATCTACGAAGGTTTTTATCTGTCCATCACTGGCGACCGTATGTTTTTTTACTGAATACATATTGGGCTTATAAACCCTAGGTAAAAAACTCTCGAGATGTAGCGCGGAAGTCCTAATATTCTGAGGTCTGTGTGACTTCTGTTGAACAGATTATTGCAACACCTCATTGTAAGGATTATCCGCGTGTATCACCGGTGGATCATCGGTTACCCGTAGGGCTAAATTCATAACCAAGCAAAGCACGATAAGATTGGCTGAATACAGGCTAGAGTCCTGGAGTGTTTCATTCATACACTGTTTTTACTCAACGTTTACGATATTTCGATCCACACCCCATCACAGATGCGCTCCTTTAGATCGACTTGTCATTCCGTTGTGTTCTGATGCTAGAAATATCTCCAGGAAGCAAACTACACAGGTGCAGTATTCTCTAAATAGCTGATGTTTTTTACGTTCGCACTACTCTCGCTTGAGCACTCTTTCCTGTCCTAGGCAGTTATTCTAATGAATCCTCTCTTTGGTATGGACTCACCAGAATAATTACAGCAAGACTGTTCAGATGAGAGTGATGTGAATATACAAATCTCACATCCAGCCTATGGCTAACTGATAATGCCTTCATCAGTCACCTGTAGCCCTGTTTGCCTCAAAGTAATAGGGTTCGACCGAACATTCGGTCGCATTACTTGGACCGATTCGTTTTTCCTTTCCCGTATCCAATTATTACCGATATGGATGGCATTCTGAAAACAGAGCAGTCTGGGTCTGTGTGAAAACCAGCTAAACCCCAGTTAAACACTCAACTCATCACTGGACCTTGTTTAAAACCACATACTGGGGCCAAATCCCACCGCATCAGCCATTCTAATGGGATGAGAAGGAATAATTGACATAGTTGAATATGTTCGTAAGTTTTTCAGCCACCTATTCAATGAAAACAAGGTGGTTTGTTCCCGCTAGATGCTAGCGGTGCTTTGGTGGCATCACTGGCCGGACGTCTTCTCGGGACAGACAAACTGTTTCAGGAACAAATCAATGGTAAGATTGAGTCGAATTCTGTCTCTTGATTCATTAAGACGAAGAATGACATTTGGTATTTCCGGACCAACTCGTCTGACATCGACAATTTTTACCATCGGTTGGGTCCCTGCAGTATCAAGAACACACTGAACACTTCATACAAAGAATCTATAAAGAAATTGTTTTTACTATTTGTTTCTACTACCGCAATTGATCGAAGATAACTGGTCTGTCAGGTTCCCTTCCTACCCGCTAAAGTAATGTTACCGGTTCAAACTATTCAATATTGGCACTAATCTGTTTGAAAATATGGCTTTCTTTCAACACTTAATTTCAAGTAGGAAAATCCAAGATTCTTTTTGGCGGTTTTAACAGTACTGAACATCAAGGCAACCTAAAAATGGGCTCCACTTCTCTGTGCACGTTCTGTGCGCCTGCCGAGTCAGGGTTTCCAACATAAGCTGATTTCATTGAATAGAAAATTGTGCAAGTTTTCCAGTTGGTCCATCTGTCAGAGATTTATCCACGCAATGACGGAATCGATTCATATATAAACCGCGATCTTCGAACGGTGGTCGGAAATTTCAATGCAAAAAATGTCAAGCCGCGAAAGCACAGTGTTGATCTAATTTGCCCCGGTTATCTATTGCATTCTGGCAGACTAAGTTGATGTATATGCCTCTCAGACCACCCTGTTGACCACGTCCAGGGGGTTACAAGAACATTCCGTCACGAAGAGACTGGACCTTACCATGGTGTGACGGTTTGCGCACCTCAGCGATCCATTGAGCTATACTGGAGAGTGTCCCGCGACACTCACAGAGTCTCTCATACCAGGT